TATCACCATCTAAAACATAATAGATATTTCAGATTATTAGACTTAAGTATTTGTCATTGCGAATAATGCATATTTTAGAAATTTCGGTAATTTCGACGAAATCTTGGCAATTACCAGGAAATTCCTGAAATATCTATTATGTTCCAGATGGTGATATCTATCAGAATAGACATCCTCATCTTGGAAAACAGGAGAAATTTTGGTAATTTCCAGGAAGTCTTCGTAACTACTGCGAAATTGCTGAAATATCCATTATTTATCAGCTAGAGATATCTATTAGAAGAGGGGCCGCCATCTTGGAAAATACGAGAATTTCTAGAAATTTCGGTAATTTAGACGAAATCTTGGCAATTACCAGGAAATTCCTGAAATATCTATTATGTTTTAGATGGTGATATCTATCAGAATAGATATCCTCATCTTGGAAAATAGGAGAACTTTTGGAAATTTCGGTAATTTCGAGGAAATCTTCGTAACTACTGCGAAATTCCTGAAATATCCATTATTCATTAGGTAGAGATATCTGTTAGAACAGGCCCCCGTATCTTGGAAAATACTAGAACTTCTAGAAATTTCGGTCGGAAATTTCGGTCGGAAATTCCTGAAATATGCATTATTCGCAATGAAAAATACTTAATTTTAATAATCTGACATATCTATTATGTTTTAGATGGTGAAGAAGAGAATTTTGAGAAATTTCGGTGATTACGAGGAAACTTTGTCAATTACTGGGAAATTTCTGAAAGATCCATTATTTATCAGCTAGAGATATCTATTAGAAGAGGCACCGCCATATTGGAAAATACGAGAACTTCTAGAAATTTCGATAATTTTGACGAAATGTTGGCAATTACCAGGAAATTCCTGAAATATCTATTATGTTTTAGATGGTGATATCTATCAGAATAGACAGCCTCATCTTGGAAAATAGAAGAACTTGTGGAAATTTTGGTAATTTCGAGGAAATCTTCGTAACTACTGCGAAATTCCTGAAATATCCATTATTTATCACCTAGAGATATCTATTAGAAGAGGAACCGGCATCTTGGAAAATACGAGAACTTCAGGAAATTTCGGTAATTTCAAGGAAATCTTCGTAACTACTGCGAAACTCCTGAAATATCCATTATTCATTAGGTAGAGATATCTGTTAGAACAGGCCCCCATATCTTAGAAAATACGAGAACTTCTAGAAATTTCGGTAATTTTGACGAAATCTTCGCAATTACCAGGAAATTCCTGAAATATCTATTATGTTTTAGATGGTGATATGGATCCGAATAGACATCCTCATCTTGGAAAATAGGAGAACTTTTGGAAATTTTGGTAATTTCGAGGAAATCTTCGTAACTACTGCGAAATTCCTGAAATATGCATTATTCGCAATGACAAATACTTAAGTCTAATAATCTGAAATATCTATTATGTTTTAGATGGTGATAGCAAGCAGAATAGACATCCTCATCTTGGAAAATAGGAGAACTTTTGGAAATTTCGGTAATTTCGACGAAATCTTGGCAATTACCAGGAAATTCCTGAAATATCTATTGTGTTTTAGATGGTGATATGTATCCGAATAGACATCCTCATCTTGGAAAATAGGAGAACTGTTGGAAATTTGGGTAATTTCGAGGAAATCTTCGTAACTACTGGGAAATTCCTGAAATATGCATTATTCGCAACCAAAAATAGTCACAGTCTGCCTGACGGATTTCGAGCAAGCGACAAGGGGTTGCTACTCTAAAATAAAATCTGTTTTGAATGATAATTCAAGATGGTTAATAGATCCTTAAAATTTCGTCACAAGGCAGTTGTCGAATGGTGACGTTGCTTCCGCTGCGATGGATGGGGATCCGTAAGTCGCGCTCAGCACGAATAGGAGGCGTGTGGTTCGAGAATGACGAATATCTGAGCGAGGTTACCCACTTTAGTTACTCGAAGAGATGACCAGTATCGTGTATATGAGAATTCTCTATTTCGTTAGAAAATGTTTGAAACGAGGTAAAGGTTTTTACCAAATGTTTTTTACCTATGTGGCGCTGGCATTAGGATGGTCTGCTGTTACACTTGACACTTTGTTCATGCAGATGTCAGAATACGCACTGACTTTATTCTGTTGTCTTTGTTCGTATGTACATCCACATATCTCTTTGCGTTTTAGCTCAAACAATAACCAGTACATCATGTTCACCATACGTTTACAATACAAATACAAATGCAGCAATCACATATTCTGGCGGCGGATTGTCATCTCCATACGGTGTAGCTGTGGATAGTGCTAATAATCTCTATATTGCGGATTCTGTAAGTGTTCGAAAATATGCGTGGAATACTTATAACTATTCAAGTGGAGGAATTATTGTGGCACCTTCGTCCACAACACAAGGATCAACTGGCACTCAATTTGGCTCGGTGTTAGCTATCTGCACAGATTCTGATAGTAATTTATATATTAGTGACATAAATGGTTATTCTAATGGTTATAGTAATTATCGCATCCAGAAATGGGATAACGGAGCAGTATGGGGTCCTACAGTGGCAGGAGGAAACTCGCAGGGACCAGCCCTAAATCAAATAAGTACTTCATTTGGCATTTATGTTGATTGGAATTATAATCTCTATGCATCAGACAATAACTATCATCGAGTAACCAAATGGGCTCCATACTCGACAATTGGAATTCTTGTGGCTGGTAATAATGGAAGCGGTAGCAATGCAACACAATTGAACTCGCCACGAGGTGTGTTTGTCGATCAAATGGGAAATGTCTATGATGTTGATACGGGAAATCATCGTGTTCAAAAATGGGTATGCTTTTTCTTTTTCTCTTATTCATTCTAATTTTAGTTATATGTTTTTATTTATTTTGACTAAAGAACGTTGGCGCAACGTTTGGTGTCACAGTCGCAGGTGGAAACGGACAGGGACAATGTGCTACACAATTAAATAACCCAACAGCAATTTATCTTCGTACAGATGGTGTTCTATTCGTATTGGACGCAGGGAATCAACGCATTGTACAATGGTCTCCAAATGCAGCTTATGGTGTTACTGTTTTCGATGGATCTAATGGTGTTTTTAGCGTGTATACATATGCAATGACCATGGATTTAACAGGCAATTTATATGTTGCTGATGCGCATCGTTGGCAGGTTAAAAAAATTGAAATTATTTCCACTGGTGCATGTGGTAAGTAGATATGTTCACTTGTTATTTGCGATTTGAAGTTTAACGTAAACTCTCTGACGATACTGTAGCTTAGGAAATAACTTATTGTTGAACGGTGTAGATAAGAGAAGTAAAGCTATTATTTTAATATTTATTTAAAATGTTACGGGAGACTTTACCATCTTTTTGCTCACTAAATACTCGTCACATCTGGATTTTGCTTAATTGAAAGAGATCTACAGTAAGCATGAACATTTCAATGAGCATCAGTTTCTCTCGCAAGTTCTTTACAGCTACTCAGAGGGTAAGGCTTTGCTAAAAGAGTAAAATGTTGCTTTAAGTAAGGTTGGCAAAAAGATCGCAACTTACCTTCATCTTTAATACAACTTAAATCTTGCGATTTTCCTACCGCTTCACCAAAGAGATACAGCGGACTTGTACAAATCTTAGTCCTCTCTGCACATCTATAGCCGTCTTCTCTTGTATTGCGATAGAAAAAAAGCTTCCGTTTCAGTTTATCTTCAACCATTTTATATGTAAGAACTCCAGCACGCAGAGCGATCGATCTGAGGTCCACAGAAGGTTTTTCGGGTTTTTCGGTGTAACTGATCAGTGACTTATCCGTGCACTTTTCCTTTACATCAAAGCCTCTAACTGCTTCACCTTGCTTTCGAAAGATTTGAACGTCACAGTCAAAATAGGCTTCGTCGCAGGTGTAGTAGATTTCGACTATTGGAATTGGTAGGATTCGCATGTAATCTGAAGAGATGACAAAAAAAGTCTGATCAGACACGACTAACATCCACTTAAATAAAGATAGATGTATTTGTAGCACAGTTCAGTTTAACAGAAACTTTGCTCTATGGACCTGAGAAAGAATCGACTGTGGAGGTTTAAAAAACTTAGTCTATTAGGTGACCACATATTGTGAGTTTAAAAGGCCGATAGGTCCTGTTTTTTTCAAAACTGACTTTCTGAGGCATGACTGCAGTCTTCAAAGCAGTAACGACATCGATTCATCAGAAGCGATTTAGACGAAAAAAGATTTTCTTTTTAGTACCAGTTTTCCGTTCGTTTTATACTCTGAAAAGAAAAAAAGAAGAATCAACCACACTCGAGATTGTCTTTTCTTTCTTTTTATGCATTGGGGGAAAAAGAGACACTCGTGTAATTTGTGTGGGGGAAAAAGAGACACTCCATTGAAATAAACGGAGTTCTCAGACACAAACCCCTACTGTCTCACAGAAGCGGATTTTGATACTATGCCAAATGACAAAGTTGTTCAGAATGCTGAACTCTATAAC